GCCGGGGCGGGGGGGGGGGGGGAGATAAAGATGGGACAAATAAGAGGAATGGGTCGTTACAAAGAAAAAAAGCTAACAGCCAAACTTAGCAATAGCTCGAGTGAAATTTTTGCATGATCCTAGTTACTCTGGAAAGTTACAATGCTCTCCAGTTTGGAACACACTGATTATTTTTCAAAACTTGTGTGAGATTTTATACAATAAGAAATAACTCTTCTTGCCAGTGGCATGTCCATCCAGCCTCAAGTAGTGACCCAGATTTCCTCTGTGCTCCATTGCCTTGCACTAGACCACACCTTTCCTCTCTCCTCCCCCTTCCACACTTTTCCCTTCTGTACCATCAGTTGATCATCTGGCTTCCCAGTCCTCTCAGAATCAAGGTCAGACTCACTCACACAGGAACAGCTCACATTTCCCAACACCACAGTCCAGCCTCTCCACACTCCACTACCTGAACTGCCTTCTCTACTGTTGATAGGGAAGAATGGGCCCCACCCAACTTAAGAACATCCCACCAGAAATTATCCCTCCCCTCTGTGCATCAACAGGTTCCCCTCTTGCCTAGATTATTCCCTCCAATGAGCTCTCATGTCTCCCATTGCCAGCTGCACATTTCCTCATCTTTACTTTGCCAGCACAACAAGGGAGTGGTCCGTACCCACTGCCTCTACTTCCGGTCCTCCCATGCTTTCTCCAGTCCACTCCAGCCAGGTGTGGTCCCTACCAACTCTCCTCCATCAAAGACAACAATAACCTCCAGGTGAACAAGTTGAAAAGTCAGCAGCATTGGCATAACTGATTACTCCGTGATTCTCAAAACATTCTCTTCACTTGACTCCAATTCTCTCTCTTTTCCTCATTGGCTGCTGTTTCCCAGTCACGTTGGTCAGATCTCCTTTATCTTCTTCATCTGCTAAACTCTAAATGTTGGAGTGCCCCTAGTCTCAATGTTCATACCTTTTGTTTGCTCTTTTCTCTATCAGTATTCGCAGATTCTCTATGCTGATGACACACAGATTTCTATCTCTAGTCCACACCTCTCTCCTGAAGGCTATGTTCTCGTGTCTCATTGCCTACTCAACTTTTCCACTTAGATGTCTGAAGAACATCTAAAATTTACTACGTCCAAACCCAAATACTTGAGCTTTTCTTCCATACCTACTCCTCCTGTAGTCTTCCTTCTCTTACTAAATGGAGTCTCTATTAATCAGCTGTTCATGACCAAATCCAGAATTCTCTTTGACACTTTTCTCTCACATCCCACAAATGAATCATAAGTCCTGTCTGTTTTACTTTGAATATCTATCTAGATTCCATATAAAGTCATCATTGTAGTCTAAATTACCATCACCTCTCTCTCTGCCTATAGTCTGTGCTTCCACACTTGTCCTCCCCTTCCACTTCACAAACAGAATGATCTCTCAGGAATCAGGGCTAGTCATGACCTTTCTCTGCAAAAAACCCTAAAAATGCCTTCTCATTTCACCAAACTATAACCCTGATGGCTCTCCCTCTGGCATCATCTCTGGTTATTCTCCTTCCTATTCCTCTGTATCAGGCATAGTAGCCACTTTGCTATCCCTGGAGCATGCCAAGTCCTCTCTACCTCAGGGCCTTTGCACTTGCTCTTCTCCATATTTGAAAAGCTTGTCCTCAAGATAGCTTCAGAACTTGCCCCCTAACTTCATTCATATCTCTGCTCTAATATTATCAGGGATGCCTTCCTTGCCTCCAGCACCCTATCTGGGAATGGTCCTACCCTGTCACCCCTGAGCTCCTTTACATACTATTTGATTTTACAATTCTCCTCACCCCCAGATATTATAACATAAAACTTGATATTACAGGATATTAACTATATATATTATTGTATATGGTTCTATATATTTTTATATATTATATACCCCCCCACACACAGGCTCCTTGTCTGTCTCCCTCTCCCACCCCATCTCATCACTAGAATAAGAATTCAACATCCCAGCTCATAGAAACTGTCTGCCACATAATAGGTGGCTCAAAATTGTTGAATAAATTACCAAAGCTATTCAAGTTTGATCAGTTCATCCAAGTGTCACCTGTGTGGTGCTGAGCTGAAGTTTTATGGTTTAGATACACTCTGAAACATCAGATTTTGAAATAATAAACCCTACTCATAATTCTGAGGAATTTGTCCCATGGGTAGAACTCAGTTTCTTCTTAACAGAACTTCCTTCAATATATTTGTTCCTCCCGGCTTTGGCAATCTCCCCCCTCTAAACATCTCACTCTGCTCTCTCTCATGGGACATTAACTTTGTCCTGCTATATCTTGTTCAAGGTACCACATTTAAAATTCTGCCTACTGTTCTGCCTAAGGGAAACCATTATATCTTCTCAACATCATCAGATCCTCTAACTGGGTGCTCAAGAGCAAGAAAATCAAGGACTTGCAAACTGCTCATTTCTTCTGTCTTCCTTTGCTCATTTTTTGTTTCCTGAGTAATTCTTCCTATCTTATTTTACAAAATCAAGGAGATTTATAGAAATGATGTTTACTGACTTTAGTACCATGGTACAAGGTTATTATCCCTGTAAATCATATCCTGCTTAGAAATGTATCACAGATGAACCTATATTCTGGATCAGTGCACACACATAACTATATAGAAAAAAAGAAGTAGATCAGAAAAGGTTGAATGTTGCAGACATGGGAAATAAAATGACCTCTACTTAAGCTACTACCATGAATATACAGAGGGAAGAAGCTGCATCTGTTTCACACTGTAAATGCCTGAAGTGTCCAGAGCGGCACCATAAACCCAGGGAGTGGCCAGGAAGTACTCACTATAAGGGTGCTAAGTCCATCCATAGCCTGACCTCTGAGGTAGTACTGTTAAGTATAATTTCAGATAATTCTGAATTTGTTTAATAGGCTTTAAATCAAGTAACCTACTTCTAACTATTGAAAAGGAACTAACTTACTCCTTACTAGGCTTCAAGCTCCTTAAAGGTAAGGTTATGTCTTTTTCTCTGCCACAGGGCCACATGATGGAAGGATTGGACAGGACTTTAGAGGTCAATTAGTTCTAATCCAACCACCCTGAATGACTGGGTAATATAACCTATTACAGTTGCATTTGGTTTTTTCATCTCTAATTGCTGTCCCATCTCATACATGAGAATTTGAAATGAAGCAAACTCCAGTCTGAATCTTTGGCAAGTTGACTAACTGAAATGACCTAATAGCCTTTGTTGGACCCATCTGGGGCCAGAAGCAAGGTGGCAAGATCAGCGGGCAGTAGCCTCCCTCCCCTTCCCCCTCTGCATCCCACACCCAGGTGCCCAACTCCTCACAGCTGGGCAGCCATGGCGGGCTTGTAAAGAAATGAATTTGCATGGCCCTCACAGGGATCTTCTCAAGCCTGGCCCTAGAAAAAACATCAACTGGTGCTATCAAAATGCACAAAGTCATCGCCCTGGTGCTCACATACTTACAGGAATGAGGAATGTAGAAACATCGCCATCCACAAGACTAAGAACTGGCCCTGCCAGGGCAGACCGTAGATCAGTCCTCTTAGTCCTGGCCAGGGCACCAGACATGGACCTCGGAAGCGTGGAGTTTTGTCAACAGGGGCACTAGACCCAAAGTCAGGAGACTGAAACCTGCTCCAAGCTCTGAGGCTTCTCTTCATCTGAAAACCATAAAAGCTAGCTGAGAGAAACTCTCCATGTGGTTCTAGACCTACCTGAGAGGCCCTGCAATGCTGTCAGAAAAATCCGCTTGGCCCCTTCAGCTTCCTCTCATCCGTCTCTTAGCTTTCCACGCAGATGGTCAAAATTGGGCCTTTTAAAACTCTGCCCTAAAAGAAGGTGGTTCAGAGTCACATTTTGGCTGGTATCGCAAGACTCCCAGGGCAATGCTTCATTGCTTCCTCAGCATATGCCAGTGCCCATTTTACAGGGGGAATTTATGATCCTTCTCTCAGTAGAGCCAGCCAAAGTTTTATAATATTCATTAAAAATCAGCACCACATGTAATAATATGGAATACTGCCGGTACACAAGGGGGCTAAGTTATAGGTGTTCAGGGAAACGTGGCAGAATTTCTTGGCCTTGGCAGGGGTAAAGTTGCAGGCACCAGCTCTGCACTAACACAACCTTCCTTTATTGCAAATGCTCCTTCAGTCTAAGTCCTAATTACCTTCTGTAAAATCCTCACCACCATCAAGCCTTCTTCTGACAGGGCAGCCACACGATGGCCTTAAAGTGCAGCAGCAACACCCCGGCAGCCTCCAGAGTCAGAGGCAGTGGGGAGGCTGGGACACAGGAGGAGCTGGGGCTGAAGCTGAGAGGGAGGCTCTTGGTTTACACTTCGCAATTGCTCTCGCAGCTTAAACAAGTCGTGGGGGCTCACGGACTTGCTCAGTGGGACGGGCCGAGGCTCCCGGGTGAAGGATTCAAACGTCAACACAGCTGGCGGGTCGGAAGCTACTCTTCCTCGCCCCACCCCCACTCATGAGGGGGCCCGCTTAGCTTTGTGGGGGCCCGTGGAGCATCTTTTCCCGCCCCTCCTGGGAACCGCTAGACAACCCAGGAATCCCAGGTCTCGACGTCTGGCTCCTCTTCCCGGGGACAGGGCCCTGGGCTCTGCACCCCTCCCCACGTGCCACACCAGCCCTCACCACTCCCGCCACCCCTTAAGCCCTCAACCCTTGCCTTTCAAGGCCCTCACGAGTCCGGAGCAAGGCCGGACCCAGCCAGGCGGTCAGCGGGGCGGGGAGCAGGGGGCTCTGCTCGCCGCGCGGCTGCACAAAGCGGGGAGTGCAGCGGCGGATGAGGCGCGCCCCCTCCCGCGAGCCAGCGGAGCGCGCGCGCCCGCCCCCGCCCCTCGCCCCCCACCCCAGCCCCCGGAGCGCCATTCGCGGAGCGGCTTACGCTAGTCGCCAGGCGTACGGCGCCCCAGCGGCCGGGGAGGTGCGCTGCCCGGCTCCCGTAAAGTTATTGTGAATGGGGAGCGGGTGACGTCAGCGCCGAATGTCAACAATGTAGCGATTGAGAGTGTGGGCGTTCCGGGGAGAGCGCGAGCGGTGCGGCGCGGAGCAAACAGCGCCGAGCCGCCGCCGCCTCATCAGCAGCAGCAGCGACCGTGCACACCCGGGCTGCGGTCGCAGCAGCGCTAACGTGAGCACCCGCCGCCGCCCTCGCCACCCCGCTTGCCTACTCCCGCTGCCGCCCGGCTCTCGCTTTCCCTCCGGCCTCCCTTCGACCCTTCCCCTCCCCCTACTCGGCACACTCGGGGGGCTGGGAACGAGCTGCCATGTGATGCGCGTCCTCTCGGTGAGCTTTTGGTGACCCCCGAACCGCCCACCGCGCCGGCTCCCTGGAGGGGGCTGCAGGCTGGGAAGACGTTGGGAAGAGGAGGCGGAAAAGGACGCAAAGTTCTCTGGCGAGGTGAGTCTCTAGCCCCGGGGCCCGGGGGCCGGCGCGGGGCGGGGCGGCGGGGCAAGTTTGCGGAGGGCGCGGGTGCGCGGAGCAGGCGGGGAGGCGTGGGGAAAGCGGCGCGGGGAGGGAGCCGCGGCGGCCCGGCTCGATGCCTCCCGTCGAGCGCCCGGCCCGCTTTTATGGCATTTTCTAGGAACGGGAAGGGGGTGGGAGCCAAGCCGGCGGACGCGCCGCGGCGAATGTGAGCTCTCTCGCCAGGCTGTTTACGGCAGGCGAGGCGGCATTGTATTTTGCTCGCGTCGACGGGTGTTTTGGAACAGCAGGGGGAGGAGGAGCAGAGGGTAATAAGTCAGGCGTGGGGAGGGCGGGCTGGAGGGAGGCGCGCGTCCGCGCGAGCCGGAGCAGCTGTCAGACCCACGGCCGTGTTCCCCGGCCCCCAGCCCGCGATCCCAGCGCCAGGCCCGGCGGCCTCCTCCTTGCCCGCGGCGTCCGCGCCTGGGGCCGCGCGGCCGCCGCGCCTTCGCGCTCAGCTGTCAGTCGCGGCTAGGTAGCTAGGACCTCCGCGACTGGCGCGGCATCAAAGCCCAAGTTTAGGGTCCCGAGAAGAGGCAAGCTGGGGGCCTCGCAGCGTTAACCGCGGGATGGCATTCCTACTGGCGAATGACCGCGTTATCGGAAGGCGTCCCCGGGAGCTCGAAGCGCGGCGCTCGTGCCTTCAGACTGGGAAACCTTGCACCTCCACCCCCCAAGATTCTCCATGAAATCAAAGTGCAACACACAACATCCTCTTCTTCCTCCCCGCACTTCAGTCTCCAAGCTCCACCTAGGAGAGGAGTTTATCCCGGAGACGCATCTCCACCTCCCCACGCCAAGGCTCCCTGTGATCGCTCCGTACTCCTCTCACGGGTGGGTGCTCAGTTGCCCAGTGCCTTTGGAGAGGGCGGCGAGCGGCGCTCATGGACTACCCCAGCTGCCCGCGAGAGGGGACTCGAGTGAGCATCTCGTCCACCTCGGTCTGGCGGAGGATTTGCAGGAACTCGAACCGTGGGAGGAAGCGGGCAGGGCCGAGCGTATGCATGTGAAAGGGGCCGCGTACCCTTGGCTTCGGGGGGTGTGGACGTGCTGGGTATCCCCAGCACCTTCTCGCGTGTGGGCGAGTTTGACAACTTGGGGGAAGTTCCAGTGTAGGCGCTGTCCGGATGGTTTTGTCTGTGGCCGGAGAAGGCGCGTCTCGCAGCTCTCGCGCCGGGTCGTCGCGGTCGCTGCGACCGGTGGCCCCCAAGAAAGGGGAGGGACGAGGGCGCCCCACCCCTACTGAGCCGCAGACTCACGGCGGGCCCGCGGGTAGCGAGACACGGCGTTCCAAGGTTTTCACCTTCACTGTCTAGTGCTGCAGTCGCACTCCGGGTGTAAATTTCATCTGTTGAGCGTATTTAACTAAAAAGGGTAATGACTTTAGATAAAAATCCTTTTCTGCCTAGTGGGAGCCTTGGCGGAGATGATGCCTAATGAGATATTTTGCTTTTGTCTGTTTAGAGTAAAATTAGAGATGTTAACTCTGATAACGGTTTTCTCAGATCATTAAAATGTAACATGTAGGAAAGGCATGTCGAGCCGCGAAACTCTGGCTGACATGAAAGAAGCTGAGCGTGAAAGGCTGCCACTCTTTCGGCGGAGAGGGCTATTTTGGTAAAGCAGCGGGCGTCTTGCTGAAAATGTGAGATTGCCCCACCCTGGTTCTCTGGCAGCTCCCGAGTAAATGGCATTTTTCATTCTTGCAGGTAGTAATAAACGTGAGTCAAAATGACATCTTGTTAGAATTAGTTTTTAGTCTGTAAGAGAGATTGCTAAATTACAGTGTTGCGCTCAAACTGCTCCAGTGAAAGGTCTGTCAGCATTTCCATTATAAATTCAGTTTTTCAGGAGTTTATAATTTCACCACAAAACTTGTGGTGGCTGAAGTGTTTCTCCCTTCCACTGTTCTGGTTTGGAGAACACATTGATTGATTGCCCAATTCTGCCCTATTTTGCTTTTCCTGAAACTTGGAATGTCATTCAAAGGGGAGGAGGTTCCCCAAAATGGAACACAGGACCATGGGATGAAGTACTTTTGTTAGAACACACTTTATATATGCAGAGCAATATTTTCATTTTGGATTTTGGAAGGCTTTAGCTTTGACATTTGGTAATCTTAAGTGTGTTGAGTTAATTCCTCTGGTATCTGTCAATTCTGCAGGTGGATCGAAATGTCAGTTCCTATTGTATATGCCAGGATCACATGGAAAAACATTCTCTTCATATATGTGTATGTATGGACTCTCAGCTAAATTATGAGTACCTTTGTTAGTTACTTTTCTGTTCTTTGTAGGTGGCATGTGAGGATTTGCCATAGAGAAGCAGGGGTAAAGCAGAAAGGCAGAGAGGGAATCAGAACAACCCTCTCCTCTCCCCACCCCAATTCCCTTTTCAGTATCATTAATGCCTGGGAGGAAACCATTTATTCTCTTTCTATTGAATCATGCCTTTGATTCAGTGTCTTCAGGCAAGTCCCTTCCAGTGGCTCAACCTCTGGCTGCTGTTCGAGGGGCTTAATTATTTGCAAACTGCCTTGAAATCCCTGGATGAAAGGCACTGCATAAGTGCAAAGTATTGTTATTCAGATATGGGATTTAATGATCCATTACAGTTCATCAGGAAATGCACTTTGCAGTGATGGTAGGAAACGTTTCCACCTGATAGAGGGTAATAATAACTGCTTAAAAGTAGGTTCAGATTACAGATGAGACAATTAACTCTAGCCATGTGCTCTTCAATTTGTTGCAATTCATTTTGTGATCAAAGTGAGTCGCAGAGAGCCAGATGGTCAGGTTCATGTTCAAATCTCTCCTAGGCCAGCCCTTCACTTCTGGGCCCTCTGTCTGCATGCCGCCGGGACTTATTCATTAGCGCTTGTGAGCTGTTCTGCAGAATGTATGATCGGGGGCTCCTGTGATGCCAACAAAAGGGCTCAGGCCAATCTATATTGTTGGGAGCAGTTTAATTTTACTTGGATTAACTCGTGCTTAGTGTCTCTGGTATGGATCCAGCCTTAACAAGGGAGGAGAGGGATCCTGGAAGCTCTGTAGCTCAGCTGTGTGGCGCTTTCACTCCCCTACCTTTTGTACCTCAGATTTCAGGGGTTGGGGTATCTGGCTGGTTGTAAATACTGGCTGAATGAATGACGGAACACTCAGAGAAATAAAGACCCTTCCTGTTTTGCTGAGGGGGTGTGGTGTCTACACCTGGCTGTGTGGACCTGTGCTTGTTCTGTTGTACCCTCCTCCCCTGCTCAGACGGGTCTCACACTTGGTTGAATCTTCTGTTGTTAATCTTCTTGAAATCCTTAATAATTCTTGAATTCAGAGCCCTTCATTTTCATCTTTCACTCTCCTGGTGAGGACGGGGGCACAGCACAGAGGGGCAGGCAACAACTATTTTGTCTCAGCTTCTTGTCATCGACTGTTGCCAGGTAGGGATGGGTGGGAGTACAGGCTTTGTGTTACCATGCCATCTGATATACCCAAGAGAAGCTGTTTATCTGATAGACTTCTATGTGGAATCCCTAATTTTTAAAGATTAGCTCAAAAATTTTGAAATGTTGGATGAGAATAATATGCAATTTCTAGAGCTGGCCGGCAGGCAGCCTGTCTTCTACCACTGAACCGGCTTAAACATCTTATTGTTTGATATTTCTGTATCTGGCTGTTTCCTAAGAGCCTGGCACACAGGAGATGATTTATGAGTCTCCACCAAATAAATGGTTATAGCTATCCAAAAAGTTGCAAGATGTAAGAAAAACAAAACTTGAAATCCACACTGAGTCCCACTCAGAGATTGGTAACTTTCCTTTGGAGAGAGAGGCAACCTTAAAGACCAAAGACTAAATACCATGGGCACCATGTAATCCTCTGCAGGTAAATAATCCATCGCTTTTGAATAACCTGTTTGCTATGTACATGAGAATTTGACATTTGAAAACACCCACTAAAATAATAGCTGTGATTTATTGAATGCTCATGATGTGCCAGAAACCACGTTGACTACTTGACCTATTCGTAGCTCATTGACTCCTCAAAGCAACCGTGTGAAGTAGGCATCGTGCCCATTCTACAGAAGAGGAATTTTCTCACTTTATGTGGCAAAGAATTTCAACTGAATGTAGTGTGTGTTTTCTTGACTGCCTAAAGGTTATTCCCCATCCTGTATACACAGTCTAGCCCTGAGTCAGTGACTAGGTGTGAGGTGGGGACCATAGTAAACAGAGGATATAGCTCCTACTCTCCCGTACCAGCAACAGAGAACATTATTAGATGCAACATCTTTGTTAAAACCTGTGTTTATACAGCCAGCACTGCATCTGCCTCCCCGTTCCTCCCTTTTCTTTCCTGGATGGTAGGGAAGCTCCAGTGACATAGGACCCTACCAGAGGCACTTGAGGATCTGAAGCCAGGGCTGGTTGTAACAATTTGCATTTTGGGGGAAAAGAAGATGAACTTCTGGCTCCTCTGGAGCCATGTTAGGCAAAGCAGCAACAAATCCTTGGGAATGACAAAATCACTCTTGTTTTATCAGTGACAGTGTATGACCTAGTCCTGGCCCATCTTTAAATTTTGTGGAAATATTTACACATTGTTTGAGTCCAAACTGAAACCTGTTGTGAACTAAACATTTTATAAATTCAGATAGACTGCCCACAATATTCTTTCTTTTTCGGTGTGTGTGTGTGGGGGGGTGTCTAGGATATTTCATAGGAAAGTAGTTTTCTTTGCCAATTCAACATCTTTTCTTTTACTTTTCTCCCTTTTCTTTTTCCTTTCTTGTTCATTTCAGATGTCAGTCTACCTAAAACTGAAACCTGATCTTACCTTCAGCTGCTGCTCAGTTTCCCTAATGCTGGAAGTATCCTCAGAATCTCTTCTCTGTCCTTTTCAAGGACCATTTCTTTTCTAAAGAATATGGAAATTGAACCT